AGCTTCGACAAAAGTATACATTAGATTTTCGTAAATACTGACAAAGGTTAGTCTTGGTGTAAAACGTACGGAATTAATTGTCGCAAATCCAACATGAAACTATCCCAACAATTCAAGAAAGTAAAAACCTATATCACTGTCCTCTTCGGGCTTACATTTTTGGCACACGCAGTCACTAAGTTTACTTTCTTGCTCAAGAGAATTAATTTTTACAAGCACTGTCCTCTTCGGGCTTACATTTTTGGCACACGCAGTCACTAAGTTTACTTTCTTGCTCAAGAGAATTAATTTTTACAAGCTTGCTTAGAGCAAATCTTTAAGTCCATATGGGGAAAACAGTAAATAAAGGCACAAGAAATTCAATTTTCACTAAACAAACCTGTTCACTGTGTCCTTGAGGAAAATAATAGACGAGGCTTCCAACCTGAGGCAAGGTAACCAATGGACCAGCACAGGCATGCCATAGCTCTGAATTTATTGTCTTCTTTGTCCCTGTAGTAAATCAAGGTTAATGAACAGTAAGGATTCAGAGATCACAAGAAATATGAATCGAGAATTTACAAGATTATTGCAAGAGTTTTTACCAATGAATCCTTTATGTTTTCACCTTCACCTAAATCCAATTACTATACAGTCTACTACTCAAACAAATCTATGGAGATATAAAATATTTAAGCAAGTAAATAGATGAAATTAACTAACCCGAATGATCCTGCATTTCTTTTAACAGTTTCATCTCTTCAAGCAGATTATGTGCCCCACCAACCAAGCCTCCAACTTTTGGCGTTTCCCGAACAGAGCCCATGTATCTAGGGCTTTTCCCTTTCTCACTTCAAACCCAAAAACTCTCTGAAAGAACCCATCTTTGTACCAACCAATCAATCAAAAAGACAGAATCTTTCCATCCAAAAATCACACCCTCTTACAAAGAGGCAAATTCACATATTCTTGTTGAAAGAAATCAAATGGCACCTTAAAGAAAGAAATTACATGGTTATTAAGAGGGACATAGAAATAGAGCAAAGACAAATATTCAGAGAATCTAGAAGTATGAGAGCAACCAATCAAATAGGACTGGGAGCATGCCAAAAAATCCAAAACCAAGGAATAATACACACTGTAAAAAGTTACTGAAAAATCTAAGTGGGGCTTCCTCTTCTCCCCCTCCTCACTCCATCAACAGCAGAAAGGAAAAGTAAAAAAATTACATACAACATGATTTAGAGGGGTCAGTTTTTTTGCCATCAAAGCACGCGGATCAAAGCATGAGTGGTAGAATTATCAAGTGTTCCACCCTTTTTGCTCCCTTTTTCTCTTTATATTTTATCAAAAGAAATTGACCTTTCAATGGAAGAGTGCCCTTTATGAAAACAAAAGTTTTTCCTTTCGTTCTTTCTCCATCAACATAACACCAAATGTTTCAATCTTTTTCTCTCTCTTAATTCTCTTTTTCTTTTTTATATCTTGTATCTGGGTTTTATTTATTTAATTTTTTTATTGAGGGGGCTTGCTTGAAACTGGTAAGTGTGTGCATGCTCTTAACCTGCGCCCACAGTTGCTGAAAATAGTAGTTCTGTTGCAGCTTTAGACTGAACAAAGTTGGAGCTGAAGAAATGAAAAAGAAAAGGCGTGCATAAACAGAGCAATGCGATTCCCACACGAAATTGTATTCGCACAAAGCAGAGAAAGAGGCAGATTTTATTAAATTAAGAAAATAAAAAATAGACAACCTTTGCTTGTTCACATAGGACACTCCAATACAGAAATAATTAAGGGATTTTATATAGTCATGAGCTCATTTTCTTTGAAATCTTGTGTTTAGCTTTAATATTGTAGCGTACTAAGAAAATAAAAATTGAAAGAGATGGTAGTCGTTATAAAGCATCAGTGGTGATGATTCATGACTTTTAATGCATTTTTGGAAATTATAGATTTATAAAAATCAAAATTATTAATAATTCTTTAGCAAAAGATGTTTCTTATTCAAATTAAGACTTCGGAAAGTTTTCTTCGCCCATCCTTTTAGTTATTGGTCTTTTGGTGATTAGAATAATTGACTTTTTTTTAGAGTCAATACAATTCGTTTCTTTGTAAAATTAGAGGAAGATATAATTTTTTAATTTGACAAATTTATAAATTATTTATGTATTGATCAAAATTTTCAATCACAAATTTCAATTAATTTACAAGTATCGTATACTTACCTATTACTGAATTTTATCTATTTAAAAAACAAATCGTTTATAAATTATTTCCACGTGGAGTGTCTTGAGAACCGTGTGTCATATTTTTTCCATTTATTTTGCAACTTGAATTTTAATAGGTTTTTTTTTTATTATTTTCTATAGGACTATTCTGTATTAGGTATCTACTATTTATATAGTAGGAGAAAATTACACCATTATCCACCAACATATTGCTCCAATTGTGTATTTCTCTCAAATCTTTGCAAAGGAATTATTTGTTTAACAACTTCATTACAATTGTACTATCAACATTAAATGACCATAATTACTTATTTGTTAATTTGTTACGTGAATCTAACGATATGAAATATTATTTGAACTAGGGGTTTGGACCTATATCGTAAGTGGTTGGCATAAAATGAATAGTACTTGGAGTCGACCCCGACCCTTCGCATGATAAAGAATTTCATTGTGTCTCTCCTACAAGATATAAGTTTTGAAATAAATTGTTGTATCTCCTTCCATTAGTTGGTATCTTAGCTAGAGCTATTATAGATTGGGAATGAATCCTCGAGTTTGACGTCAGATGATAAAGGATTGATTGCGCCCAGAGACGGATTTAGGGGGCTGGGCTATAGCCCCCCCCCCCCGGCCCAAGGGTTTTTTTTTAAGGTTTTTATTTTATTTTATTTTTTGGTAAAAAATCAATTTTTTATGTGTAAATTTTTTTTTTCACGTAGTAGCCCAATTTGAAATTTTGTAGCTCGATCTTGGATCCAATCCTGGATCCGTCCCTGATTGTGCCTCTCTTACTAGCTATAATTTTTAAGAAAAATAGTTACGCCTCCCTGAATCACCAGAGGTCGGTATACCAATGTACCCTTTTTTAAACGTTAGGATCCTGTTTGTTACTAAATCAATATAATAGCTACCAAGGGTGCAATTTTCTCTATTAAGTAAAAGGCTAGGTAAGAGAGAGACACGTAACTTTTTTATTTTACGTTCAAAGTTTAATCCCAAATTTTCTTTGCGGAACTTTCTCTCTCTTTCTTGGGATTCTAATGCTTGACCGTTCGGCACGCGTGTGCGATTCACGACAAATTAATGATAGGCGCAGGATAGCAATAACTTGACACGTGTCACAAATGCTACTGTGTTCGACTTCATCATGGTCGTTAGGAGCTGTTTCCCTGAAAGTTTTTAGTGTTTTCTTTTACCAGAAAAAATACATATATATTTTTACTTTATTGCTTTTCAAGAGAATATTTTCAAGCAATTTAAGGGATAATACTAAAAACAGAAAGTAATAACTGCCTAAAGTATTTAATTTTGCTTATTTTTTGGCTTATTATGGTATTTGTACAAAATTTGTTTACAAATTTGGTTGACAAAATAAGTGCTGACAAAATTCAGGCCATTAATTTTCAATTATTTAAAAATCTGTTTTTTAAATGATTGGTGTAGATATTACTTTGTAAACCAAGCCCCTGTTTGAGTCTCATTCTTTTTACATTATTTTCTATTTTTTTTATAGTACTAATTTTCAATTACACATTATTTATTAAAATAATATTATACGCAAATCAAAAAAAATTCTTTTTTGAACTTTATCAATCACTATTCCATAATATGTTATTTCAAATTAATGGGGCTCGAACGGGGCCCAACTTTTTATATATGGCATAACTCATTTTTTGGCAAGTTTCCTATATAGTCACGGTCAAGAAAATAAATTACTGTAGTTTTTGTAATACATCTAACAGTTATACATTTATCATATTCATTAATGTTAATATATCCATCTATTTATTGGATTATGCTATTTGTAAATAAAAATGATACGTAAGGGATTGCATAAAATGATATAGATGGAAAAGATTGAATGAAAAGTTGATTATATTTTAAACTGATAAATGACAGGGTAATATATGGTATTACATAACCCACTATGTAAAACTAGCAAGGTCCCTCAAACAACCAAAATAAAGTGCTTCTCATCGACAAAACCAACTTGTGGAGATTATGCCTCAATAAATGAAAGGTCCAATTTAATTCATCAAAGCAAGCATAGAATGGTTGAGACGAAATTGAGCTCTAGCACACTTGATAAACAGACGAGAGAATATTTGTAATTCGTCTCCATTCGAATGGACTTTAGAGTGGTTGTATGTAAAGGTATTAAATTTAACCCAAGAATTGGTATGGTTGACTAGCCGCACAAGGTTAAGAATTCACCCTTTTTGTGATGCAAATTTCATGGAAAACAAACAATAAATAATAGGGAGACTCCATGCGAAATAAATAAAAAACAACTATTAACCAAGACTTTCATTTAAAAAAATAAA